ATTGTGGGAAAATTCGACTACCAGTCCTTCATCACCTTGCACGAAATAGGGTGAATACATGTCATTACACTGATTTACTGGTAGTCTCGAAACCCTACTCACTTACGAATAGAAGTGAGTAAGCCCAATTCTTCCACGTACACCTTAACATTTCCGTGTAGATTTTTTTTCCTTTTTTCTTCTCACTACTTGTCGGTTGTATAGTAGAGCCGACTAGCTGCCTGGTGTCAACCGGAAGCATTGGCACGAATAAATTCCGAAGCGGACAGCAGTTTGACAACCGCCTCGACTTGTCTCACGCGACTATGCTCAGCGGGACTCGAACCTGGTTCATGGCAGTGCAGGGCAGTACAATACAGCACAGCAACACACGCGGGATGAGCAAAAGGAGGAGGAGGAGGAGGAGGAGAGGTGCTTGTCCCAAAAAGAGGCCTGTACCGTCAACAGACATACAGACAGTCAGCGAGACAGACACCCGGACAATGCGCTTGATGCGTCCCGAGTGCATCCGTGCGGAGAGAGAGCATGCGAGAGAGTCTCGAGGGGATCTGGCTGAACGATGCCGTCGAATCGATAGCACTGGCACAGGCCGGGCCGGTTGTGCACCAACACGCAGGCGCGACCGATCATCCTCTCGCCTCAGCCTTCGCACCCAATCGATACGTCCTGTCGGACTGCCCGTCTGACTGTGGGCCGGTTCTGCACCTCGTCCAGGCACCCGGTCACGTCAACTCCTCCCTGCCCGCCGCCAGTCGGTCTGTCGGTCTGTCAGTCTGCCGGTGTGCGTGTGTTGCACAATAGAAAGAGGGTCGATATGCCAGTTGCAAACGGAGCACGGAAACAAGCTCGAAATCTGTACCCTCGTGGTCGGCTCCCTTGCCTTTTGTCCAACTTTCGCCACGTGCATGTGTGTGTGTGTGTGTGTGAGTGCGAGATAGTCAAGCAGAAGTGCAGAAGTGCAGAAGTGTGGTAGGGCAAGTGTGGTATGGAGGCTGGAGAAGCAGAGCGGGCCAATGAGACGCGAGGCGGACGTGGGAAGCGAAGAGGAGAGAAGCCATAGCGAGTAGGAGAGATGAGGGGGGCGAGGTGGGGCGGCGACGAGCAGGCGAAGGAGAGGAAGAGGCTCGGACGGTCAGGAGACAGCCGAACCGAGGCAATGGCCACATCGAGACGAGGTCAGTCTCGCCGTGCTCCACGACCCGGCCGCTTGCCACGAGTCCGCATCAGCCCAGCCCAGCCCAGCCCAGCCCAGCCCAGCCCGGCCCGGCCCGGCCCACGTGAGGACGTAGACGCTGGGCCACATGACGTGCTGTGCTGTGGTGTGGTGTGTGGGTCGATCGCGAGTGAGATGTGGCAATGGCCGCAGCAAAGGGCAAAGCAAGAGGATGCAAACTGCTGGAGGCGGAACCGCCAGACTGCGATCGATCCCGCAGACAGACGGACAGACGGACAGGCCGAGGAGGCGGCAGAGGCAACGCTCCCACGTGGCCGGTGTCAAGGCAGGGCGAGATTGTGCAACAGGCCGGCGTCCGACCAAAGTGTAGTCCGGCAATCGACGCCATCCTCAGCACGCATACAGCCCTGGGCAGAGATGCAAAAGAAGTGAATGACAAACACACGGACACACGGACACACCGGAAAGGTGCCTACCATCAGCCGGATGCAGGTGAGCTCGGAAATAAGGGCCACGG